AGTTAAACTAAACTAATTATAAATTTTGCTAGAATGCTGAAATCCTGTAAATGACAAATGGTCCCCATTGTCACGTTACGGTAACGGTTACAATTACCTGTTTTGAAAAAATGCATGCCGAAATCCTGTACATTTTAAATGTTCTAGAAGAACGAATATTGTTGTTCTACAACATGAACATCAAATACATGTAAAACTAGTGAAACTAAACTAATTGAAAAATCTGTATATACAGTATACAGTATAGAGTATATAGTATACAGTATAGAGTGATACAGTTGAACTGTATAGAGTATACAATAGTTTTTTAACCTCTTTCTTTTCGAAAGAAATCACTTAAGTCACTAAAAGATTTCTTTTGTTAATCATGGTATCATTAACAGTTGTGTTAATCATGGAATCCATGGCAAAACACTAAACATTTCTAATTTTGTGTATTGATAATTGTTGTAAAATGTCATGGAATCCGGTCCCTTTCATCTTGGTAAAGTCCAGGATTCCAGAACACGCAGAAGCCAAAAGCCCAGGAATCCATGGTAAAACCGTTTTTTAATGCGTTTTAATATGGTATCTGATTCCATGGTTTTTGTCATGGATTCCGGGATTGGCCACAAAATCGGTGGTTTTAGCTGTCCCGGAATCCATGACAAAAGCTGGTCACATACAAACTGGTTTGAATTAGGAATCCACGGAATTTAAAATTATCAAAGAAAATGCGTGTGTTCCGGAATCCGGGACACACGATTTCTAGCTTTTTGGCACCGATTCCGCAAAAACCAAATAACACGGATTGGCGACGTCATGATCAATCACGACTCTCTCGTTGAGCGGATCGTCTCATCCCGTTTGACTATCAGATCGAACATGTACCAGGTTCATCTTTGGGTATTGTTGACTATATGTCAAGACACCCGACTTTCGAAGCACCTTCACCGTCGTCGCATGACGAATTATTCGTCATTAAATCTATTCAAGCTTTTCATAATGCTTTAAACTCGATCAGTACTCAGTCCAGACCTCAAATATTGCCGGTGGGGCAAATTTCACATTGTAACCAATTTCAACCAATCAGATCGCTTGGTAAAATGGGAGGCAATATCAGCTACCTCCTAACTAATGAGGTGGACCAATCATCCGTTGATTCATATCACCAATCACATGTTGGCAATCAGTTTCGTTCGTCGTCCTTAGAGGGCGTCGAGAATAGTACTCAATTTGTTAACCAATCCCAAAAGGATATGCTCATTTATAGTCATAATTTCTCGCCGCTAGAGGGCGTTAATTCGTGCTCTCAATCAACCAGCCAATCATATGCAAGTATGCAAAATCACGCATGTTCATCATCGCCGCCAGAGGTCGACTTTTCATGCTCTGGTAGATTCGACCAATCACATCTCAGTATGGAAATGAGATACGCTAAACCGGAAGTTTTTGATCAAACTCATTGTCTCCGACCTTAAATCTCAGAATTCAGTCACACTATGGATACTCCAAATAATCTTGCTCAAAACTCTGCTCTCAACTCTACTCTAAATAACTTAAATACTTCTACTAATACTATTGACTTCGCAAACAACACGATCGAACAAACTAATCTCCTCAACTTTGTTGAAAAATTTTCTACCAGTTCCCCTAATTTTTGTTCCTCAAGTCAACAAAGACCCAGTCTCTCAAAAGTTCGCCTTATGAACCGCCCGAGCCGCATTGATCAAATACGTACCCGAAACCTTGCCAGAATGAGACAGTCACGGTAACGTTTTGTGGTTACCCGAGGACAGACTACACAGAAGGTTCTTGCTCAGTTCCTCGACAGGTGCCGGAGGCAGAGGCAGACGAAACAGGCCAGACAGGGGGAGACACTCAGAATGGGGGTTAATGCCATCAATAACCGCAAACCGCTGGTCACTCCGGACAAAAAGAAAGTGGTCGGATTACCAGACTTGTTCGATGTGGATCTGCTGGGAGAGCTGACAGGAGAAGACCCTTTCCTCGGACTGATGAGGACTGCAATCATCAACAAGGATGTGCAATCTTTCAACAAACTGGGGGCGTACATGGCCCAATTCTGGACGAAGGCGGCGGTGGTGAACAATTGTGTCCTGATAGACAATAACTTGGCCATACCCGAACAATTACGCAGTGCCATTCTGACTCGACTTCACCGCTCGCATCCTGGACAGGCGGCCATGATGGACGCCTCGGAATGTATATGGTGGCCATTTTTCATTCGTCAGATCGTTAACGTCTGCGAAAAATGCCCGGAGTGTACTTTATTTGGTAAGAACATCAAAATTTCAGCGACTTATAACTCTGCTAAGCCATTAACACCGTTGTCAGCTCCGAATCAAGTATTACATCTTGATTTTGCGGGTCCGTTAACAGAGGATAAGAAGGGAAAAATCTACATTCTTGTCGCAATAGATCGTTTTTCTAAGCTTCCTTCGGTGATGTTAACTAAGACAACCAGTGCGAAACAAACAGTCAAATTTTTTACGATCATGGTATACCGGAAAGGATCATGGTATATCGTATATTTTTACGATCATGGTATACCGGAAAGCAATAGGACAGATCACGGATCTGGGTTCAACTCTGATGTTGTTAAAGAATTTTGCAAAATTAGAGGGATCAAACATATCCTCACAGCGGTGGGGGATCATCGGAGTTGTTGTCAAGTGGAAAGGTCGATTCAGACCATTAAACGGAAGTTGGGAACAGAGAAATTAGATCCTAATTTTAAAAACTTGAAGTCGACTTTACCACAAATCATTGACGATATTCGGAAAACAAAACATTCTACGTTAAAAAATTTCCTTTTGAGCTACACTTTGGGAGGAAGCCTGACATTGAGTTTTCGCTAGCGCGTGATAATGTTGTTCATTCTCCTACTTCAGCGCTAGGACTGGAGAGAAACCTCCTAACACCGGAGCAGCGTTCGAGCCAAGACTACAGCCGCGATAGGGCTAAAGTTGTACCCAGAGGAGCGTCACACAGTCCGGACATCCCTTGTATATTCAAGCCACTCTTTGGTGTGGCCGAGCGTATAGCAGATAATCAATCTTACAAGGCTTTGGAGAACCTTGCAAAGGCGGCTAACACTTGGAAGCAGTGGAAACGTTATGTGCCTCCACAACAGGGACAAGAACTTCTCCGCGAATTGGCGGCTCGTAATAGTGACCTGGCAAATTCGCTAAAATCGGGGATCACAAAAGGAACTCTGCGCTTTTACGACAACGCTCGAGATACTTCAGCACCAGCTCTCTCGCATTCGCAGCGAATGATCGTGTCGTCATCTTCGAGGCCCACAAGACTCTCAAAAACACGTAAATTAGAAAAACTAGTTTTACAAGATCCTCTAAGAGTCAAAATTTTTCGGAAAATTCTTGATCAGAAAATCGGGAAAGCCTCTGTACAAACTAGCAAAAATCAAGATTACTCGTGTTACGGACCATTTTTACACTACTGAAAAAGAGAAAGTCTGTCGGAAAAATCACTTAAGCCTAAGACATAATTTTAACCACCCTAAGTTTTCAGCTACGCCTGCCACGGTGGGAGAACGGTTACAGAGACGAATTGCTCCTCGGCCTCAACCTCAGCCATCTGCTTCTCCAGCTCAGAGGCAAAAAAGTGAACCTCCAAAGTGCAAGGTGATGGAACTAACGGCAGAGCCATCAAGCGAGGACTCCTTAATCACCGGACCCCAGCTTGAGTTGGTGGAGGCACCTGTTACGGCGCCTCAAGGATTGGCTCCCGCGGATGTTACTTCGAAAGCTCTGACTGTACAATCTCTGACAAACCCCGCCTCCACAGGAGTTCAAGCAACGCCTCAGGATCCACCCATCACAATTCAGCCACAGACTTCAGGCACCGTTCCCCAGACGGCAACTCAGGGCCCGGCGGCTACGGGTCATACGGAGGATGGCGATCTAACTACTCACTCTACGAGCGATTCTACCAGATCTTCTGGTCGGTCCCAGAAAACGACGAGGTTTTCTGGCGATCCTCTTCGCCATTCGGTCAAGAGTGTTACAGAATCCGACCCTGCTGAGTCTTCGTCACAACAACCAATCCCCAAACAGACGATTACTACACCTTTCACCCCGATTGTCAGAAAAGGTTCGCAGTTGCCTTTTCCCAGAACTAAAGAGCAAACCACTCCGTTTAAGAAAATCAGAATCGACGAATTTGATAAGAATTCTTAAACTTAAAACTCACATAAACTACATTTGATTCATGATTAAAACTCACAAAAACTACATTTGATTCATATTTGATTCATGATTGTGTTATAGCTGACCTATTAACAAGTGCTTAATGTCTTCCTCATTATTCTGCCTTGTACATTCCAAAATCTATTCTATGATAAATTTTCTTCTAGAGGGGGAAGTGTCATGAGGCGACCTTCGGTACCTCATTCTATTCTATTTAATTATGTATCTCTTATATAACTATGTCTTATTTATCTACTTATAGTGCAGTAAATTGACTCAAGGACAAATCTCACCAGCCATATCGTTTGTCAATTGAGAATCTGAAGCGGTCAGTTGCGAAAGCCTAATGTGAGAAATCTAGTCGATAAAAACATTCGTGTTAATCAAAACAATACATTCAATCTGGAATCGTTATTTCTATATACATTATTCTATTCTATCTATTTATATATCATATTTAATTCATTACTCAATTTTTACAAACCTGTTTTCCCTTCTCCAACTGAGGGAAATCTCACCGTGCAAAAACTTAGAATACGCACAAAAGTAATGTTTTGCCCGCTGGCCAACAGAATTTGACTATTTTTTTTAGTTGACCAGCCCGAGGCCTAACCCGTAGGTTAATTATCTATTGTTAACTAAGCTATGGCGATATTACAAGAGCTCACCTTGTAAATTACAGCGCACGTGCGATTTTAACCCGCAATCATATGATTGCTGCTGGGCGCCATCACTACCGATGGCCACAACATTTAAAAAAAAAACATTTAGAGTAATAATTGAACGAACCCAATGTTTGGCAGTCCGTCTGTTAAGAGAAAGAGTGCCACGTTGTCCCTCTTGGGTCTGCTTTCAGTCAGAAGTTCTAACCCTTTCTTCAGTCCGCCCCACAAATTAGTCATGTCTTTTTCACACAACCCGTCAATCCTCTCCAAATTATTTCAACTGCAGATGGCGTCATAAGTCTCGGTTCCAACTCCACTGAAACTGTGATGCAAAAAGTGACCAATGAGAATTCATCTTGAGGAATGAGACTTTTGACGATGGTCTTCAACGCATGTTTAGTGATGTCGAGAACTGACAATTCAAACGTCTCAGTTTCGCCCTTCTCGTTTTGGATTGTGGCTTCGGCTCCCATAGATCCAGAGATGTCAACAACACAACAGATAGAGCTCCTAACGCACTGTGTTGATTCGGGGGGCTCGATGGAGATGAGCATGTTATGGCCGTCGTATTTCATGTTGAAGTCAAGTTCCACAGACACATGAGAGCTGGATGCTGAAACATGAGGATCGGTTAGGAAAGAACGACGTGAATCGATCCTTGGATAAATCTCTCAATCGATTCTTCACCTGTTATGACTAGATAATTGATCAGAAAAAAACTAGATAATTCATCAAGACTGCCATTGGTCGGATTTATAATTGCAAGTCTAGTGTATTATTTTTGTTCTGAAAAATCTTTCTGAAAAGTGAAATTTCTAAGGTTACAAGTTATTGTATTCACCTTGATCAATTACCATTCCGGTCAAAGTTGTGTGTGGTTGCGAAGCAGATCCACTTTCAGGCATACATACTGTCCGTGCTGCGAGGAGGCGAATGCACCATTGCTTCCACTCCAAGGTGCTTCTCAATTGCATCTCGTAATGCCCTGTTCGGTCGAAGATCGTTGACAGTCAGTACCTTCCCGGTGGTAGGCGAGGTTGAGTTTCTGGCATTAAGCCATTCGGCGATCGCCTGGCGTTCGTAGCTGACGCCGTCGTTGTCAATCACAGGGTCGTTCATAACAGCGAGAGTTATGGGGCACAGAAAGTGCTGAGGGATTTCTTGGGGTTGGCTAGTATCCATTTCGGTTTCGGTAGTTTTTGGATCTCGTTTCACGTGATACAGTTTGAATTTTTGGTTAAAGCACAGTTTTCAAACACAACGATTCGAAGTATGCAACAAAATGATGAATGGTCAATGTTTATGTAGACAATAAATAATTATTACTCGGTTGTTAAATTTCAGTTGCAACTTAGACTGTTGAGTTTATTAATTTGATTCGAATGCAGTTTTAAGCTCTAAACTCGTGTTACTGTGATGTTATGTTCGGGTGCCGGACATTAAGCCGACGGGACTTCAAGCCGAATCGTAAAATTGGGGACTTCAAGCCGAAAATTTTCTCATCAAGTCATGAAATATGATTAATTTGAAAACTCTTTTGAATAATTACTCAATTTCATGATTTTTCTTCAGTTGTTATTGGCGTTTTCATGAAATTTAAGCCTCCAAATGATGTTTAGGAAAGTTGAAAAAAACACGGTTGAAGGCAATTTTCCTGTTTATAATTTATGTATTTCAAAAACCGGCTGATATTTTTAACGGATGCCAATTCTAAGTGATTTATTGTCATGAATAACGCTTATTCTGGTCTAGCATGCCTAAAAATTATAAAAGCAACATTTTACAGATAATAAAATAGTGTTTTGAGAGTGTGTAAAGTTTGAATTTCGGCCTGAAATCCCTTCGGCTTGAAGTCTCATCAGCTTGTTGTCCTAGACCCGTTATGTTCTAGCTCTGACGTACATAAAGATTTTGCTACGTTACCGTAAAGGCCTGCGTTACTGCAAAATGTTTGGTCCAGTAGCTTCATGTGGGGAGGGGCCTCATGTTTGAAGGACCGAATGCTTGAAAAACTTCAACCTATCAAAATTGCTAAGCGTTCCTATTGGCTAAATGCCTTTCTCACAAAATCGAAGTCAATATTAACAGAAAATGTAATAAATCAGTGGAAAAAATCGAAAATATTACAAATAGCGGGTTACAATCGCATTCCTATTCAGAAAATCATCACGATTAATGAGTTCAAACTCACAAGAATTTTTCAGTCTAGAAAACTCATCTGCTTATTATCTAATCGGTCAATGTTAACACTAATGGCCTGGATTTATTTCCTTACTTTGAGATTTTTGTGATTTACTTTGAGATTTTGAATACTCAATTCTGATTGGCTGAAAGTAAGCTAAAAATATTTCAAGCATTCGGTCCTTCGAGCATGAGGGACGCCACCGCTTCATGTGAAAGTAAATGTGAATATTTGTGGTATATATAGTAGCTATGTGAATAGGAGCAAATTCGATGTGCTGCATTTTGGTTGATTTGCATAATATTGACGCCATATCCTGTTATATATGCAGCTTCTCATTGACGTTATAGCCAAATGGTAAAGTATTGGCCACCAAAAGACGAGAAGAGGGAGCCGAATGACGTAGATCTTAAAACTATTTTAAGGGAGTGCTGTCTGTATTTAGACAACCGCGTATTCCTACTCATCAGTAAGCAGGCAATTGCCATATTAACCAATCAAAATCGAGACGAGAAAGCAAATTTACAAAATAATTATTAATTATTCATTTCTTCCTTGTCTCGATTTTGATTGGTTAATACAGTATTTGTCTAAATACTGACGAGTCTGAATACACGACAAGGTGCTAGGAATTTTAGCAGACCGGCCGGTTTTTTAGCAGACCGGTTTTTTAGCAGACTCAGAATAATTATAAAGTGTGATAACTAACTTCAAACGCGGCATTGGCTGCGCTTCAATTCAACAAAGTGTTATTGTGCGCGTAAACCTTTGTTTTGCTGCTAGTTTAGACTGTTGTGTTTTTGAAGTGGATAATTCTGTCTACAATTTGAGCGCTAATTGTCTGAATTGGGGAAGCTTGGACACAGACTGAGCGTCTTTTTGAGTCTGTCAATCAATCATCCATCACTTTATTACGTTGGTCTGCTAAAAGACTCATTTTTCACTTTTTATGCTAAAAAATTAATCTGCTAAACAATCGGTCCCCACGCGAAAATAGCCTAGATTCATTCAGACTTAAGAGTTTTACTGAAAAAATTGAAATGAAAATTAATCTAGGCAATTACTAGCAATTCAAATGCAATCACATATACAAAAATCTAGAAATCATTTTTATTTGCGCGATTTCATGAAATGCATATTTTATACGGAATCAATTTTCAGATGTAATACATGCTTGGGGAGGGCATTCTACGGTAGGTCACTTGGGGGGGGGGGGGATTGTACGGTTGACCCGCATTGGAATTTTCATAGCATCTGTTCTCTGCTTTATTTGTGGCTAGTGTTTGTGAACTATTAAGCGTTCGTGGCTGACTGCTGAGTGCGTGAGACTCATAATCACTAGGTCGCAGATCGAATCTGAGATTGAACTTAAAAGCTGCTTCTTGTCGTATTCTCGCTAGTGGTTGCAAAGCGAAGGCTCGCCTCTATGTCAACAATTGCTGCGTTGGTAATTCAGTTTGAAGAGAGTGGGCTAAGAATCCTTAAAAATATAAACTTTATTTGCAATTTGAAAGTTATTCAAAAGGCAAGTGTATGTTAACTTCACCTATACATGTATAATTAGTTTGGTATTAGGCTCATGAGTAATGAAAGTTTTGAATTGTCATCATGAAAATCGACCGAAACATTTAAGTAAATTTAAATTTTCCCTATGAAAGATTTCCAGAGTTTGTCACAGTCTTTTTTTTTTCATTAATTAATGATATGAAATAGTTTTAAACCTTCCTTAGTGTTTTCTATAAGCCAAAACTTCATCTGAGGGTATATTGTGTTGAATGCTTTTCTATAGTGTTAGTGACCTTCCGTAAAAAAGTTTCACCTTGTATTGATCATTATATCTTTCAATGGATAATGGCTTTTTTATTCTTAAGTTTTTTTTTAATTTGACAATTTGCATAATTGATTTTTTCATTTAGTAGCAGTTATTGGATTTTAACTTTCCAAAAATGTCAAACCATCTACCAGTCAAGAAACATGGAAACTGGTAAAAACGTTATGTTCCGTTTAAAATCATTTGGTGAGTCAAGTTTTTCACAATTTCAAGTGTTTATAGCGCAATCTAAATGTTTTTACAATGATAAGCTCAAAATTGTATGATTTCCTTTTTAAACGAATGGCTGGATAGTGTACGTGACTTATCACGAACGCATTCATGACTAATATTCGTATTTCATTTGAAGTAGTTGCAATGACCTATTGAAATTTTTAATTCTCCGCGACTGTTTTACCCACGTCATTCAAATGCTTTAAGCTTGTGTTTTTGAATGATTATTTCTTCAAGATGTCTCAGTCGATTTCTTCCTTCAGTAGGGAGTTTATTTTTTCTACTTGGAAAGCAAAATCAAAACTGACAGATTAACTTTATCTCAGTTTTTAAAAAAATTTTGACAAATTTGCGACAGAAGAGACAACCAAGCTGTAATTCATTCGTTGCTAAACGTTCAATTTTTTGTAAGTCTTGCATTTTTATTCATTAACAAAAATAAAATTTATAGAAATCTCATCAACATCATCAGCAGTGTTGTGACAAAAAAAGAACGTCGAAAACCTCGTTGCAGAAATTTGTAGAAGTTTTAAGTTTCAAGCCAAATGATAACTTATCATCTGCCATAATTAACATACGGATTAACAGTTTTTTCAAAAAAATATATATCAAAAAATTACCAAGGTTTCCCTTGCATCGCTTAAGGTTCTGATTTTTTCAAATTAATTTATGCATAACGACCCATTGGCCCCGATTCACATTCAAACCTTTAACTCAAGACCCACGACTAATTACTTGGTGACATCAAAATTTGATCTTTCATTCTCAAAATTTATCCAATTTGAACTAAAACTAAACAGTATTTTATTGACACTTCCGGGACTTTTCACTTTACCCCATCTCTTATTTGATCCAGGACAAAACATAATCAAAAACTAGGTAAGAACTAAATAGAGTTTAACAATCTGAGTGCTTTCTAATTATACCCAGAACTTGTGGAATGATTCATTATTCTCAAACCCTTCAATTTTGCCTTACTTTTTTAATGCTAAGATTTGGAAAAATATCCTT